GTTTACCTGTGCCTATCTATATCTACCTGTCTATCTGTGCCTACCTGTATCTACCTGTCTATCTGTGCCTACCTGTATCTACCTCTACAGGACGTTGGTGGCCAGCAGCTTAAACTGCAGCAGGGGGAATTCACTGTATAAAACTACATAGTTTTACTATTAGAGTTCTGTTGATATCTAACCCACACACTGATCTTTACTTCATGTTGACCTGAAAAAAAATATATAATTTCCTCCAAGAACCTGAAGGACTATTCCAGATTGACCAAAGCATGCATCACACATTCTCAATCATATTTCATAAAGTGGGGCAAGGAACAGAAATACCCAAAACACATTTTCAACACTTGAATGCATATTTAGTTACTTGAATATGATGTTTATTATTTTGATAAGATGCCTTATCACTTATTAGACAGATCTGAGATCTGCACTGTGTGCACTTTATTGAACTAATACTGAGAAACATGTCCACCTCATATAATAATAAACTGTTGTGGTACACAGGAAGTCATGCTTTTGTTTATAATAAAAACTAATGGGAAAACACAATCCCTCCATGCCCCTACAAGCACACAATACATTTACACAGTTAGATAATAGCAAAGTTTATTTTTTATTTTTCACATTTTATGTTTTAAGTTACAAAGTGCTTCACAAAGTCAGAAGTGCTTTTAAAACATTTCTTTAGACAATTTAAAATGCAGAAATATAACAATAATAAATATAAAAGACAAATGCTTCAGATTTAGAATCTAAGGGTTGTGGAGTTGGACCACTGTTGCACCTCTCTCCCTCATTTCTTTTTATCTCCCTCACAAAAAAAGAGAAGAGATGAAAATATTCTGTGTTAAATATATGAAATCTATATGTGTAAATACTGTATATACCATTACAGCATACTTAGAGTAAGAATATGCAATAAAGTATGTGTGATTAGTAACTTGGCTGCAAGTGGAGCACAGGCTTGTTTGAGTGTATAAGAATCAACTTGCAGAAACTGACATATGGACATCACAGTAAACAAGTATTTTGGAAATACTCACACTGAGTCTGTATTATTGTTGCATAGTAATGAAAAAGGACACATTTCCATATATAAATATATAAAAGCAAACAGATCACATTATTAAAGAAATCATTGCTTTTTAGATATGTTTTGATGTTTCCTCAGATTATAGATACAGTATTTTGTGATTCTTTTAAGCACTGATAATGCATTTTATCTTGACTATGTAGCGAGTCATAATTTGTTCACATAATGGCATCAGCACAATGTAATCCATTTGGTGTCCACATATACATTGCTCTTTGTCATGTTAGCTTGTGGCGACGTTGCCTTTCCAGTCTAATGAAACCTATTTGGGATCTAAAGTCCAGTGTGAGACTCGTTCAAGTCTCTGCAAGTTGTATCAGGTCGGCTCAGTGAGACGTAGAAAACACTTAAATCAAAAAGAAGACAAACTCACTATATACATATTTGTCTCTGGTAGCTAGAAACCCACTTGTTATAAAGCTGTTACTGTGAGGATGAATCCAAGCATCCATGGACAGGGAAGAGGATAATTAACCGTAACTTTACCTTCATTTTAGTGCTTCATTCTAGCAGTTTGAACCCAGACTGTAAAAAGTGAAATAGGATCCCAAAATCAGCTCAGCCAAATGTCCACTCACATCTGGAGTGGGTCAGGATGGGGACATTGAATCAGCTCACTTAAATAACTCCTCCTCGTTTTCTATCTCAATCGGAAGCACGATGTAACGTCCATCCTGGTCTTGAGCTGTATGGTTGACATGAGAAAACAGGAAGTGCAGGTGAACAATGGGCACAAATAAATCAGAACAAGTTCCATTAAAACAAATAATAAAGCAGACATACGCTGTTGTCCTCGGTCTTCACAAGCACATGCTGTCAGAAATGTCCAAGTTGCCAAGATTACAGAAACAAAAACCACAGCTACTATTAATAGTGGAGCTATGACTTCATGTTTTGGGCTTCCTGGTGGCTGTCCTGCACCTGCATGAAGACACAACACCAGTGTTTTATACTGTATGTGACATCAGGAGGAGCATTATCACAGCAAGAACGTTTGGACAAATGCAGAAAGCTTCAACCACTAAGGAAAGGTATGTTCCCAGATCATTGAACTGTTTGAGTACAACATTAAAGTAAAACTGGGAGAAATTATGGACCAAACTAGAGAAATGTTTTACCTTGTAATCAGATTTATGCATCAAAGTTAAAAGGTAAACTTCATGCGATATTTATACAGTGTTACTTAATGAGTAACCATGGTAACAGCTTACCATGTTGACCTTTAGTTGCTGCCACTTGAGACTTTGATGAGTTGAGGGACACATCACTGCTCTCTCCATCATTGGTCTGGGCCACATTCAGTACAAAATGTTCTATGGGGTCAAATGTGTATTAGTATGACAGTAACACTTCCATTGTACAGTGCTGCAGTGCACAGAGCATTTCTGCTTTTCATTTCAAATCAACTTAAAGAGCTTACCAGTGGTCTCTAGCCCCCATCTTCTCCTGATCTTGTCATAATTAGCAGCCAGATCACACCAGTAACGTCCAGAGTCATCAGTCCTGACTCTGGACATATGAAGTCTGACTCGTCCTCCTCTGAGGACGTCTTTGTCACACTGCACCCGTCCTGCAAACTGCTGATGCTGAGACTCTGAGGACTCCACACCGTCAACCATTTCATAGAAAAGCTTCAGAGGCTCTGACTGGAAGAAACAACGCAGAATGGTGAGGGACATGATGGGACTGTCCCATCCGATGGTGATGTTATCGTCCTCCTCTGCCTGATAGAAGGTCGGAGTCTTTTTCAAGACAAACATCCCTGTCGACGAGAGAAAGGGCAAAGAGAGGCACAATAGAGACGTTATGTAGAGTCAGACATCGATCTTCACCTCATTTCTGTCAGATGTACTGAGACTTACACATAAACTAACCACTAGAGCTACTAGTGTGTGATTCATCCATTTAATTCATTCCAAGAAATTATATTACATTAATTGTCATTTTTAGTGAAACAAAACCAAATATTTGCTGCTTCCAGCTTCTCATATGGGCAGGTTTGCTGTTTGTCTTTGTAATATATGACAGTGAATGAAATAATGTTTGGTTTTTAATTGTTGGTTGAACTAAACAAGCAGTTTAAGGACGTCACTTTGGCCTCTGGAAGTCTTTATGGGAGATTTTTCACAACTTTCTTTACATTCATAAACAGTTTGATTGGATTAATGGAAGAAATAATCAGCAGATTAATCGTTAATGAAATGAATTGTTGGTTTCAGTCCTACTAACCACAGACAGAGGAGGTCAGGCCGACGAGCAGAAGGATCCAGATCATCTTCTCCCTGTCAGAGAGGAGACAGGTTTATTAGAGGAAGAAGAGCTTTATTAAAACAGGACAGATTGGTAGATCACTCAGCACGAAGAAGATCTTCCTTTAAGGTTTGTAATGTTTATAAATCAGTCAGAAATAAAGTGAAAGGTCACAAAGGAGCATTTCTGTTGTAAGAGTGTCATAAAATCAGTCTTGTCTTTGTCGTATAACTGGAGTTTGTTTGGTTTGCTTTAAAGAATCATTTCATCCTTCAGATAATATTAAACTACACATGTGGTTATAAATACAGAAGTCATGGTGATCAGTTTTATTAAAGTCAGTTTTCTTTGTATAGAGCCCAATCATAACAGAAGTGATGTCAGGACACTTATCACATAAAGAAGGTCTACACTGTTATAAAATGAGTTACAGAGACTCAACAGGTTTCTAAGTTTCTTTTTGTGAATAAGAAAAGTTTTGTTCGCTGCGTGATTGTTTTCAATGTTTGTTGTTGTAATACTCATTTCAGCCACAAGACATACACATAAACAGGAGAGAAAACTATTTAGATCTGACGTAGAAAATCAACACAATCTTTTTGTCCCTACCCCCTCAGGGCTTCCGTACAACAATTACAATCAGCACCATGTCATGTTTCTGTGCTGATTGTTGTGCTGTACACACTGTGAGCTACTAGATATTAAAGCGGCTGTTAACATCAGAGTGCAGAATCTTGTTTCATATAATCTCAGTGTACAGTTACTGCAGTAGCCTCAGCTTTAAAACAAAGTCCTACCTGTTCATGTGTTTGTGCTAGGTGTGTTGTCTGTCAGCTGCTCCCAGGAACCATGAACTCCTCCCCAAGCGTGTGAACGAGGACGAGCGAGCGATGGCGCAGTTTTCCTGCTGAACAACTTTCTGGCTGCATTGCATCGGTCAGACACTGATCTGGAAAGGAAACACTGTTGTTTACATTTTTTCATTTCATCTCTGGTAGAACTCTTTAATCCTCGCTGTTAGAAACTTTCTAAAGACCATCCAACCTGCTGAACTGGATTTTAAACTTTATTGTGAACTTTCCAGATCAGCTGATATAAAAGTTCAGCCATAAAAAAACATACTATCATGGATGTTTTTCCAGTATTGATTAATCTGCTGATTATGTTTTCATTTAATCTATTGTTTTACTCATAAAAGGTCAGAATATTGTGAAAAAGCCTCTCAACCACCTAATGTACAATGTGACGTCCTCAGACTGCCTATTTCTGCTCGTCCAAGAGTCCAAAACACAAAGATATTCAATTTAAAATTATATAAAACAGAGAAAAGTTCCTCACATTTACGATTCTGGAACCACAGAGTTGTTGGCACTTTTGTTTCCTAACAGATTATATATGTTAATAAAAATTGTTAATTAAGTTGTTTTGATCAACTGATCAATTAAGCCATTTGACTCTTTCTATCACATCAAGATGAAGATTAAACCTCCAAACTCTGTATTTATCCAGCTCATTAATCTCAAATACACTTAGAGCCATTTTTAAACTGTTTTCTAATCCGAGTCGACATTGGATCAAACATATCAGCAGTGAATGAACCACTGTACACAATTCAAACTGTGCTGACAGTAAATCAAAGGTTTGAGTTACTTACTTTGTAGTTGATGGAGCAGCAAGCTGTCACACTTTATGTCTGAACTGGACGAGTTGATTCACTACAGTCTGAATGTTACAGGAGGAAGTAGGTGAGTTTATATGGAGCAATTCACTGTGTTCTTGCATCAGCTCAGATTCAGACAGACAAAATCCAGAGGAGGAGCTTTAGTCACATGATTTTACTTCAAAGTGAAAGTATAGAAATAAAAGCTGTTATTCTTTATTTCTCATAGAACTTTAAAGCCCCTGTCCTCCTCAAACTCAAAGATATTAAAGCCATCAATCAACAGTCAGAATGTCCTCACAGTTACAAACAGAAAGATAAAGAGTTGTCTGACTGTTGGGAACGTTCAACAATATTCACCAAGTTCCCCAAATGGATGACTTCTTGTTTCCTGTAACATGAGACTGTGCTGATGTTGACATCCCATGTGATCAAATGTTTGTGTCACCTCAGAATGAAATGATCTGGAATATTTGAGATTAATTTATTCAGCTTCTCTGGCTCATAGAAATTGTCATCAACCACAGAACATTTATAATCCTTCAATAAGTTGAATGGAATCATTTTTTAAGATTAAAACATGAAGAAAAGTTGGTAACACTTCATATTAAGGCTCACATATTGACCATTAACTATCTACCTATTAGCATGCAGCATACTGACTCTTGTTAGTGATTATAAAGTATGAATGCCTTATTCTGAATGAGCTCATTCTACAACTACTAGGACATTAAGAGTATTAATGAGGTAGACATGTTTATCATCAGTCTCTTTTAATATGTCGTCCAGGCTTCATTTATAAGTTAGGGTAAAGAAAAAGGAAAGTTCTGACAAAAACGGAAACAACAAAATTTGTATTTATTTATTTTTATACCAGAAATAATCCTTAGATTTACTTATTGAACTTTAAGGTATGAAAAAAATAATAATGAAATTCACATTTTAAATGACAGAAGTAGTACTATTAGGAATTCCCTATAGTCTGTGAGAGTCGTGGCTTATGGTGTGTTCAATTTACACTGAAAGTCGGAACTTGGAGCTCTGAACAACGTAACCCCACAGTTGAGTGCTCCCTGCTCACTATGAATCTGAGGGGGTCACTATGAATCTGAGGGGTCATGCCCCCCGGCCCTAGTGCCATCTGCGCGCATGTTCCACAGGAAAGCATTTTTACCAACTCCTCGGTAAGGAAAGCAGCTTCGTCTCCTCTGCTCGGACTGCTACTGTGAGACTGGCCGCCTGTGAGTGCTTCTGGACGGGGAGGGACTCACAGCAGCACCCGCTGCTCGTTGAGCACCGTAACTGATAAAGTCTCCAATAACACCAGAGAGGTCGCCAACATCTCTGAGCCACAGTCTCCATCACAGTAGAGTGTCTGTGGGAGAGGCCACTGTGTCAGACAGCTCAGGTGACGTCATCTGACATTTGCATATCACAATAGCAGCCCACGTGTACTCTGCTGCTCGTGCCCTTGCTGTGCGCGCTGTCTGTCTCAGTGGAGTGGTAAAGGAGGAGCTTGTGTGCGCATGCTGTGTGCGTGACAGCGATTTAAAATGTAAAAAAAAAATAGAAAAGAAAAACAACTGGAATGCACATTTCCTCACTTGATGGTTACTCAGTAAAAAGAACAGAATATTATTTATATGTATTAAAAACACTCAAAAGTAGGAGGTCCTCTAATGGAGCTACAGGCTATCTACAGTACTCAGATCAATGTCTGGAAGAAATAATGATGGATATATATTGTGAAATACAAATTCATTTGATCAGGTCTGATATCATTTCAGGCTTACCATTTAGTTTTAAACTGTTTATATAGTTTATAAGGACAATAAAACAGATGTGGCATTATTAGTGCTAACGAGGGATGTGGAAGGTTAGGTAGTTACTGGATCGTTATAATGACAGTAGTGATGTAAGGTAGTTTTAGAACAGTAGTAGTACAAGATTGTGTAGGGTCAACAGCTCCAGTTCCTGCGTGTCTTTATCACGTTGCTTTCTATGGCAAGCCATTTTAACATTTAACAGCTAGACTGGATATACATACTAACTGGAATTACGGATATCTACAATTCAATTCCAGATATCCGTAATTCACATAGTGGATATCTGCAACTGAATTGTAGATATCCGTAATGAGAAACCCCATACAAATGAATGGCAAAAGTGACATCATTTGTCCCAGGAAGAATGTAGTTGCAGATATCTGAAATGTTGTTTTTGACTAGGCAAAACTGAATTAGACATATCTGCAACACATATCCAGTCTAGCTGTTAAATATCAAAATGGCTTGCCATAGTCTGCTAAATAAAGACACACAGAAACTGATGCATTTTGGGATTTGTGAGGATCAAACCAGCAACCTTCCTAACAGTGAGCAACCCACTCTACCTCTGAGCCACAGTCGACCCTCTCCTGTTTGTATGAAGTGCAGCCAACCAGGTGAGTAATGAATCTATATTGATGTTGGTGTTAATCAGGAGTTAACTTCAGTTGTAAAGGTTGAGTCAGTATATTTGAATAGAACAGCAGGAACAGCTGCACGTTTAATACCAACAAACTGTTTCCAGCTTCTATTATCGCTCCCTGTTCTGTTTTATAGCCCATGTCATCTTTCTGTCTGTTGGTGACTGAAATGAACTAAAGCACACAGACACTGAAGAGTAGAGCTGTTAAGGCTGGGCAGCATGTGTAACTTCATAAATCTGACTAGTTAATGAACTGTTAATATATGTTGACCTGCCCTTTTCAACCATCCAGTCTTCAATGTTACTAATTCTTTGATTTTGATGAACTCTCTATTTTTAAATGGCAACGTTTGATGTGTTCAGATTTGGACACACTGGGTCAACTTGTATGGGACACTGTTAGAGATGTGTGTACCCAGACGTTTGTTGTTCAGTGTGGTTGATCTGTCCATAATGCTATTTGTAGATTTCCTCAAGCAGTTTTATCCTTTTGTTAACTGTGATATTGTAATGCACCTGATCTGATAAAACATCATGTTTACTGAACATGCTGTTTTTATTGATGCATTTCAAACTTTTTATCACAAGATGGTGTATGACTCTTGACTTGGAGGCTTAAATAGTTTGTTTAACATATTTCAAGGGGACTTATCTACTTGTTTGCCTCTGATTCTTATATTGTAAGATCTGACAACAGCATCATTGTTTGTGTTTATTTGCAGTTGTTTTGTCATTCCTTTATATGTTGGCAGTATTTATATTGAACCCTTATTAAACATGATTATTCCTTAAAACAAAAATAAAGTTACTAAAAGTAAAGTTAAAGATAGTTATAAAAAGTTCATCAACCACTGACAACATATGATGCTGTGTGAGTTATGAACGGTGTTCAACAGGACAATATGCTGTGCCTACTTTGAGAACAGGTTAGTCAAGTGTTCTCTCGTTCTCACACAGTAAAATGATGATGTGATACAACCATCAGACTGTTCACCATTAGTTGGTGCTGTTGTTGCTTCCTTGTCTGTCCACGTACTTTCAGCACATGGTGTTTTTATTATATATGAAACTGTTGTTTCATTTTTATTTGTGGATTCACACAAACACATTTAATCAAACTTCATCTGATGATTGTTTTCCTGAGTAACCATCAAAGATGTTGGATTGAACTCTCAATGTCCTCTTCAGCTCCATGTTTCCTGCTGATGGTGCAGAGTTTAACCTCTGGCGTCATCATATAAAAGATATACATCACTATGTATGTGTTTATGACTCTTCACCGCTGTCTCCTCTCACAGGGAGAAGATGATCTGCTGGATCCTGCTCATCAACCTGACCTCCTGTGTCTGTGGTTAGTTTCCACCTTCACTTTATTATCCATGAAGAGAAAAGTCCAAATACACTTTCAGACTTCCATCTTTCAATCTGTAAGGAGGAAGGCCTCTACAGCACTGAGAGCATCACTAAACTGTCCACAGAAACATCTCTAGATGGAGTTTAAAGGCTCACATGTTAAAGTTGTCACTTTGTCTGGTCCTCACTTTCCCTCTCTGTCTCCTCAACAGGAACATTTGTAGTGAATGTGACACAGACCTCCTATCAGGCAGAGGAGAACCATAACATCACACTGGAATGGACGTTCACAACCAACACTGACAGTTCCCTCAACTCTCTTTCTGTCTACTGTCTACTGATTACTGATCACAAGGTTTCAGTCCTGTATCATCTACATGATGGTGTTGAGATCTCAGAGTCTCAGGATGAACAGTTTAAAGGACGAGTCCAGTGTGACAAAGACGTCCTCAAAGAAGGACGAATCAGACTTCATGTGTCCAGACTCAGGACTGAAGACTCGGGTCGGTACCGGTGTAAAGTGAAAACAACTTATGGTGACAACGTTGGTGAATGTCGACTCAATGTCACTGGTAAGTTGATTTTATAGAACTCAGTTAGTAAAAGAGGACTCAGAGTCTAAGACTATTAGTTTGGTGTGTTAGCATGCTAACATTAGCTAATTAGCACTAAACACAAACTAATAGTTGAGCTGAGTTACTTTAGTGTTAAGTTAAATTCCTCCTGAGGGGGACACGGATGGACAGACTGATATTTCCATCCACAGAGCTGCTGCCAGCGGCTGAAACTGTCCATCATAACGACCTGGAGCCATGAACCAGGAAACAGAGAAAATCAGCAAATCCTCACATTGGAGAAGCTGTAACTAGATAATGTTTCCTTTACAGCAGCTGCTGATGGGCCCAAACCTCAGAGACCAGAGAGTCCACAACCAGAGAGTCCACAACCAGAGAGTCGGGGAAGGATCGGTCTCTATGTTGGACTGGGACTGACAGCAGCTCTACTGGCTGTCTGTGTCGTATTCTGCTCTGCCTCCTGTCACTGTATGACTAAATCTGCTGATAAGAAATGAATCATCTCTGCAGCTGTACAGATGTTGACACAACCCATCAGGACTTACAGGACTCTGTTTGGAGGACCCTCTTTCTGTCACAATGAGCCATCAGACTGTTTAAGACCTGACTGATGAAACCAACAGACTCTGAGACTCTCTACCTTCAACATCTGTTTTAAGTCTCTTCTTAAAATGCACTTTTACAGTCTTGTCTTCTGGCGGTCCTTTTTCTAACCTTTTATTCACTGTGGTTTTATTGTTGTTTTTAATTGTTTTATCTT